CCATTAATTTTTCTTGATTAGCTTTCATTTACTGTCAGAAGTGTTTTTAAAAAGTATTCAGGTAGATGTATTGTGTATTGTATAGTATAAATATATTTGCACCTTGTCCCTTCTTCCATATTAGGCCTCAGTAAAGCAACTTGTATCCATTGGCAGATCTTTGTGTCCTCACAGAGCCCCACTGACAACAATAAAGAACCCAAAGTGTCTAAGGGTTCACTTCTATGCATAATGGAGTGGGCTAAGTTAATAGCAAATATGCTCTGAACTTCAGTAAGACCCAAACATGAGTCTCCTGTGCCAGATTTTTTGCTGCTATAACTCTACTGAAGCCAACAGAATGACACCAGCAGAGAATTTGTCCCACCAAAAGATTTGGGCTTATCAGAGAATTTTAGCCCACAATATGTTAATTCTTAAGTAAACCTCTCACTTCATAATGCTTTATGCAGTCTCTTTAACATCTCTCTAGTTTAACACCAAGGGCATGTCCCTTTGTAACTGAGGGAACTCAGCGATGTTCAAAGAAAGCCACCCACGGATGAATTCAAAGTGCCTGGTGTGCAAGAATCTTGGAATAGTTAAATGGAACCCTGGAACAAAATGAGAACCTTAAAAAGGTGAAGACACGCAAACAAAGTGTGGTTAGTTTATGATGGTGGTGGTGTCTGATTAAAATAGTTGGTTATCATGAATCTAAAAAAACAAATAGATCTGGCTTTGTAAATAAGCACAGCATACATTGTCACTATGCACATGCCAGAGCATGTTATCCATACCAACCCTCAAATTCCCTGCTTTCTAATCCCAAGGCACTTCCTAGCAAAGATGAGCACGAATGAAAACTAGGATCATGTTACCCAATGACATTATAAACTGGGTATCTTGAGGGCAAAGACGAGTTCCTTTAGCGTCTAATATAATCATCCCTAACTCTCACAAGTGGGTTTTGTTAGTCTCACTGGAGTCTTATATTTTTCTGTGCTTTTCATACCCTTGTGATATAAAATGGAAACCACTATAGGCTCTTCCAAGCCTCTGAGCAATGCCATCCCTGAACTTGGTAAAAATTCGGAGATCTCATAAAGCTTGGTGTCTCATATCCTGACAGTAATTCAGAATGCTTCATGCAGTTGTATGTGCTCAGATGAGGATGTTGTTACCTAAATTACTGTTTCCTCAAAACAGACTTTCAATGACTTGATTTAGTCGCCCTAGATATCAATCTAAAAAGCTTAGTGCCTTCTACCCACATAAGGAGAAAGATGGTGGTGCTTTTACCTCTGCTTCTATTGAAATATACTGATTGAACACAAGGCTAATAATGCAGTCAGTTGTACTTCTAGCTTTTAAAGTGTCCTCCTTCTATGGTGGGAAGAGATGGAAGGAGGGAGGAAAAAAATATTTAACAGCTTCATAAATTCACTCTCTTCTCTTTAGAAAAATATAAGTTCACAATGAATATACGAAGTGGAGGTCAGATAATTTAGCTTTGATAACAAGAGCTTGTTTTTAATGCTAATTAGCCAAAACATGTACATTGTTTTTAAAAATTAAAGTCTTAATCACTTCAGTTTAAAGTTTCTTTTTCTCTTAAAATAAAGATTAAAAAGAAAATATGCAGCCTCTTAATATTTATCTGACAGGAACCAAACAAAAGCTGATAAAGAATGAAATCTTAACATAAAAAGAAAATTTAATGAGATCTCATGAACAATTAAAAAGACCATTTGGATTCTTTTAAATCTATTGGAAAAAGAAAAACAAGGAAGGTTTAGCTATAATTACATACTGAAAGGAGTAGAAAGGGGAATGTTAAATGCTTCTCTCTGTTCTTCCTGAAACAATAAATGATGCTACAGGATGCTTATTAACATGCATTTTGGTGTGACCTGGTTTACCACTGCACTTAGGCAGGTGTTTAAAATAGGTGTTCAGTCTTTTTTTCCTCTTTCTGAAAACCAAGTAGACGGTGCAGAAGATTCACAGTTAGCTTATCTGTGCTCTCTCTTTAAGATGTTGATGGACCCTTTGCAGGGAATTGCTGTAAAGGATCTGGTTCAAATCTGGTCCATAATTGCCCACCCTACACTAGTTTTGCCCTTCGACAGTTAAGAGAATAACAGATAATGATATCAAGCCACTCTAGTTCTAGAGTCCTGATGTGCTGAAGGGCTCAGCCATGCGCTTAAAAGGGAGGTGAGTATTTCTATTACAGAATGAGGACATCCTTTTCTCTAACTTTTCTCTCTCATGAGACATTTCTTGGGGAAATATTGAGGCCAGTCCTATGCAGTGTTGACCTTCTTCCATTGAGGTCAATTGGCATGGACTTCGACAGGTCAGGACCTTGGTATATTATGCCTGTTGCATGTAAATTTAATGTTCCTTGCACCTGGTCCATTTTTTTAAACTGGTGTACACTTGCCTGGTACTCCTTTGACCTTTTCTGTTTTAGCAACATTTTGGTTTGTATCACATGCTTTTCACCCACATGTTCCCCCTCAGAATTCATTGCTGTCTACTCTGCTATTTATCTATAATTCAAAAGAAGGATTGTGACATGACATACTATTGAACTGTCATTAGTAGTTTGGTGCAAGTTTTGGGATCAGGGTGGCGGAGGAGTGTAATCCAGTTTTCATGACAAGAGGCTGCAAAGAAAACATTTTGGAGCTGTGGACTTCATAAAAAATACTTGTTCAGTCTGACAGGCACCATGTAATTGTTATACTGTGCAAATAACTAGAGAAGGAATAAGGGCAACCTTCAAAGCATGCAAGGTGTTGAACTCTGTGATTTTTAAATGTCTGTATAGTTGATGATTTACTTTGTGTGTATGAGAAAATTCTAGTAACACAGTTAGCAATTATATTGCACTCAAAGAATGCAGGCACAAACACCTCCTAAAGGACTGGATCAATCTAACAAATTGTTTTGGGAGTTATCTTGTTATTGGTTTTATGTACTGCCACCACTGCTCAGTTTTGTGTGTGTGTGTGTGTGTGTGTGTGTGTTAACTCTTTGGAGCTGAGTGGATATGCCAGATTTATTTCGATATTATATAACGAAGGATTGCTTTTTAGGTCAAGTAATTAAACTGTTTCTTTAAGTTTTCACAGTTCAGTAGCTCTTTTATGGGAAATCAGAAATGCAGGAAATTGATTTACACCTGCATATGTGCATTCCAACAAAAATAAAACTGTTAGATATTTAGATCTCTTAAACAATCAGCTGTTAAACAGTAAGCTAGTCTTTTACTTATGTGGTTGACTTAAGCCCCACTATAGAATACATTTAAATATGCATTTCTAATAAAAGGCATTCAGCACCTTGATATCTAAACACCAAGCAACATATGATGGTAGCATTAGGCATAACTAAAAAGAACTCGGTTCTCTTCATTTTTACAGGGAATGAAGGATGGCCTTGTGGATAGGTATTGGACTGGGACTTGGGTATTTGGATTCAGTTCCCAACTAAACCACACACTTCCTGTTTGACCTAAAACAAGTCATTTCTTTACTTCACTGTTGGGTGCTGAGGCTAAACACATTGCTTGTAAAGTAGTCAGTACCACTGGGCACAATATAAATACACAGGAAAGATTGCTGTCCTCTTCTCCCACTGTTCTGATATTTCTTTGCATATATTGAACAATTGCTCTTCGTAACTTTAACTTTAACTACCAGAGATGATCTGGAGCTGCAACATTGGATGCAGAATTCTGATTTTGAACACCTCAGAATTCAGCTTTGTAGATTCAAGAAACTACGACCAAAAGGGGGCCACTATAGTCAGTTAGTCTGATCCTTATTTATACATAGGCCATAGAACTGTTCAGACGTACCTGTAGAATGTACACAGTGCTGGGCTTGCTTAGACCGGAAACTGTTTTGAACATGGTTTGTGCTTTGTGAGCTGGCAAAAAAATGAATTGAACAGACCATTGTAATAGATCTTGCCAGTAATGTTTATATTCAGATCTGGGTTCAGATTTTGAACATTTTCCCCAGGTTTAGTGGTGATCAGATCTAGAGTTTTGACTGGATACATGTTCCAGAGTTACATTCTTGTTTCAGACTCTCAAGCATGAGCTACTGGCTCCCTACTCCCACATTTGATTCAACCAAATGCGGCCTCCCTCTCTGCTTTTGGGGTATTAGTGAATAGATTGCAATTTATTCTCTTTTCATGTATTATTTGGATAAAACTATTCAAAGACTTGGTAGCATTTTTTTAATTGTTGATTGGCCACATATACCTTTCTGTATTTACTATATTTGCAGAGAAGTTTGATTGTGGTAAGGTAATGTGGTAAGGTAACTTACATATTATTTTTGTTCCCTGATTCAATGAGGGCATGCATATTTCCCAAACAAATACTCATGGAGAAAAATGCAAATGGTTTGTATATAATCTTGCAGGAAGCTTTCAAATTTTGATTGGTTCACTTAGGTGTTTGTGAAAAATTTGATCTTTGATCTTGCAGTTCTCGCTGAGTCAACGTACTCGTTAGTTTCACAGGAGTTTTGCAAGAATAAAGGATTGGGCCCTGAGTCTCATTTTCATGTCACTTCACATGTGCACGGATCTTGGAAACAAGGGAGGGCAATCTCAGACAGCACTGTGACCGAATGCCTAGAGCAATGAATGAGAAGTTGGGAGACTGTTCTACTCCAAAGAGATTTAAGACATTTTAAAATCATTTGGAAACTTGCTATTTATTAATTAGAACAGCTTAATCTAATTTTATTTTCTCACTGCTTCATGGCATATAGTTATTGGGTTCCTCCTCTTCTCCCCCTTTCTGGAGAATTAATAGCACGGCTAAACGGAAAGCTCTCCAAGCCAGATATATAGTTAGTACATATTATGCATTTCATTAATAATGTATAACGAGCAAACTTGCTCCTTGTTCAACCTACTCAGTCTGTCTCCACTGGGTATATATGTTGAAATCATTGAAATTCATGTAACAAGTAAGCTTTCCTCTCCCCTGATGCATATACTCTTAAATGTGTGTCCTTTGTTGCTTTGTTATAATTCTTGAAGGAGGTTTCCTGCTGCTACATCAATGTCACCTTTTGCAAGTGACAGGAAGATTAAGTAAAATGCTGTACATATAATTATAGCCAGGCTATTGGCAGCAAGTGACACAGTGCAGATGACATGGCTAATTTTGCAGTCAAGACATAATGTACGTGGCAAGAGTTACCCGTACTTTCTAAAAGTCGTACCGTCTCCAGAGTAGTGACGGGTAGTACGAATCTCTTTGATTTATGGAGTGACAACCTGGATTCCAAGACAAACTCAGTACAGCCCGGAAACACACCTTATGAGAATATCATTAGAGAGTAAGAAACTGCTCACTGACATTGATCTCAACTGACACCTAATCAGAACATTGCTTGGATAGTGTTGCCTTTTTATTTATTATTTTAAAAAAATTAGCATGTGTTTTGTGTCTGATCCTCTGCTGTGAATTATTGGCAGCACTAAGAAAAATATATAAATGTACTATATTTCATGGTTGGGGGGCAGGAGAGTTCTGACAGCTTTTATGTGCTTATTCCTGAGAAGTTGATCACTTTCTTGTTATGCACATGTTGAATGATTCCACCTCAATTTGTCCTTGGCTCCCACAAAGAAGTAATATCACAGCAGCATAGCTAAAATACAAACAAAAAAAGAATCTGATGAAATTTTCTGTTATGAGTTCTTTGCTTCTACAAGTGTAATTTTTTAAATTGAGCTAGCAATAAAACTAATGATGCAGCTTCCTTTTTTAATCTCTCAGCATTACTGTCCACTAAAAGTGCCTGTAAAGAATAAGCAAGGTTTGAATGAGTTTCCCCTGTCATCTAGACTAGGAGACAGCTGGCTGTCTTTGCATAGACACACCTATTCTGCCTCAGTACATAACATAATGGAAGTGCTTTGTCAAAATTATCCTTTTTTTGGCTGGTCACAAATCACTTTAATATTAAGATGCAGGGCTAATGAAATGTTATCCCTACTGTACAAGAAATATGCTTAGTATGCCCTGATTCAAGGGGTCACCCTACACTGACCTTCACTTACTAAGCAGAAGGTAGGGATGACAAATTCCATTGGAGATAAGTGAGCAGGGACGTGGTATAGATTTTGCCTAAAGTCCTAGGTAATGTTTGATTTGCTTATTGCCAGTGTTCCATGACAGAGCTGATTAGTTTTGGTTAAGAGTCCTTGTTTCTGACTCCTTAAAAACCTCCCCACAGCTACTCGGGAACAAATCCACACAGAAACACCTTCTGACCCCCGACCATGATTGTTCTATCTGCTTCCCAAGATCCACAAACCTGGACACCCCGGACGTCCCATCATCTCTGGTATTGGCACGCTCACTACTGGTCTATCCAGCTATGTAGACTCTCTTCTCAAACCCTTCGCAACCAACACCCCCAGCTATCTCCGAGACACTACTGACTTCCTAAGGAAACTACAAAACATCGATAACCTCCCCAATAACACCATCCTTGCCACCATGGATGTAGAAGCTCTATACACCAACATCCCACATGAAGACGGATTACAAGCAATTAGAAACACTATCCCAGAGGACACCACTGCCAACCTGATAGCAGACCTATGTAACTTTGTTCTCACCCACAATTATTTCCAGTTTGAGAACAACTTATACCTCCAGATCAGCGGCACAGCCATGGGTACACGCATGGCCCCACAGTATGCTAACATCTTTATGGCTGACCTAGAACAACGTTTCCTCAACTCCCGTCCCCTTTCACCCCTCCTCTACCTACGGTACATCGATGACATCTTTATGATCTGGACACATGGCCAAGAAACACTGGAGATATTCCACAGAGATTTCAACAACCTACACCCCACCATCAACCTCAGCCTGGACCATTCTACACGAGAGATCCACTTCCTGGACACCACCGTACAAATCAACAATGGAAAATTAGACACCACTCTCTACAGAAAACCCACCGACTCATACAGTTACCTACATGCATCCAGCTCCCATCCAGAACACACCACACGATCCATCGTCTATAACCAAGGCCTTCGATACAACCGCATCTGCTCTAACCCCACTGACAGAGACCAGAAGCTTCAGGATCTCTACCAAGCATTTATAAATCTCAACTACCCACCCAGAGAAACAAAAAAGCAAATTGAAAGAGCCAGACGAATACCTAGAAACCATCTACTTCAAGACAGACCCAAGAAAACCAACAATAGAACACCACTTGTCATCACCTACAACCCCCAACTTAAACCTGTCCAACACATTATCAATAAACTACAGCCTATATTGGAACAGGATACCATACTCAAAGAGGCTCTGGGAGACAGACCCATAGTCTCCTATAGACAACCACCTAACCTCAAGATGATTCTTACCAACCACCACAGGACATACCACACTAATACCAACCCTGGTACCTTCCCTTGCAACAAACCCCGTTGCCAGCTTTGTCCACATATTCATTCTGCTGATACCATTATTGGACCTAACCAAGTGAGTTATAAGATCAAGAACACATATTCCTGCGCATCCAGAAATATAATCTACGCTATCATGTGCCGAAAGTGTCCGTCTGCTATGTACATTGGACAAACATCTCAGACACTTCGCCAAAGGATTAATGCCCACAAAACAGATATCAGACAAGATCACAAAGAGAAAACAGTTTCTTGCCACTTTAACCAGAAAGGACACTCTCTAAATGACTTAGCCACCTGCATTCTGCTACAAAGACCTTTTACATCTGCACTTGAAAGGGAATCCTCTGAACTGTCATTCATGTTAAAATTCGACACTTACCAACAAGGACTTAACAAGTCTTTGAACTTTCTCACCCATTACCAAGACAGTTTCCCCAATTATCACCTGTAATACCATTAACTCACAAACATCCCACTCTCCCTACCTTTAATATCAGCAATTCACAGACACTTACCTTCCTTCCTCCCCCTTCCCACCCCCCCGCATCCCCCTTTTTCATGTGTGTTCATTTTTTTAAATTGTATCCTTTGGTATATATGGTTGTGACTATTTTCTTCCACTATTTGATCTGAGGAAGTGGGTCTGGCCCACGAAAGCTCATCATCTAATAAACCATCTTGTTAGTATTTAAAGTGCTACATAGTCCTGCATTTTGTTTCTGACTGGCTGACCTCACTGCTGAGCAGGTCTAAGGGCAAAGCCTGTCTGTGGAGACAGTGCTGCAGCAAAAGGCAACCCAGAAACTGTACTGGCTGTGAGGTTCTCCATTGCCTCCTGAAATCACAAAGACCTGGGTTAAGGAAAGAAAAAAAGCACTATTTGTTACAATAGAACTTCAGGTCATCACCCTAGAAAGAATATGTGGTTGGATAAAGATTTAGAATTATTATGACATTACAAGCACCATGGCAGCAAAATGTGATTGCTTGAGACTGTTCATAGTCTTGGTTGAGGGGTAGGTGTTTGGGTGTCATAACCATCTTGTTCACTGACACACTGCCCAGGATTCAACAGCTGGTCTAGTGGTCTGTACACAGAGGTAAGCACCAGAAATTCCTAAATCTAAGTCATGGCTCTATTAACAAGGTGTAATAATACTGCCTTGTGAAAAAGCCTTTCAAAAGAAAAGCACCACATGAATGCTGAATATTTTGCTGTGGGGCAGACAGTCTCAGGAAGGCAGGCAAGGTCATTATAACAAGTGTTTTGTATAGACATGGGTTCCATCCACTAAGTGTGGATCCGGCTTATGATTTTAAAAGCATGTACAAACCCAAAGTATCAAGGTGATTTGGAGTTTTAAAACACATGAGAAATCTGAAGTAAGCAAGAAATGTCTGAAGCGGGGTCTCAAATTCCAGGTCCTCAGGCCTGTCCTGGCTATTGCGATTGCACAATCTGGCCTGGGTTGCCCAGTGGGCTGGGTGGGGAATCTG